AAGGGCGAGGCCACTACAAGGGAGCAAGAGAGGAAGAGAGAGAGAGAGAGAGCAGTGACTACGGCATGCAGAAAGACTTTAAGATTACTCATGAATCTCACATTTCTTAATTTGAGTTTTAATATTTTATTGCTAATTTCGGAAACACTATTTTTATTTAATCTTTTCATTTTTTCTAATTAAGATCGGTACGTAAAAATGTTGAACATTGCTTCAAAGTTAAAATTTTTTACATGCATCATCATGTACTAAGATATATAATTTTCAAGAAAAGTTTCATTCAAATTTTATTCCCTAGTTTCCTGTAATTAATTAACTATAATAATCGTCGTATTCTGTCCAGTCTGTCCACACTTGAAGTTAGACTTTTGTTTATGCTTTTGTTTTTTTGATATGTTTTTATAGATAATATTATACCTATACTTCTTTATTTTTTTACTATTTTTTAATTTAATAATATTTTTATTTCTCAAATAATTCAAAAATATTTATAACTTCTTTTCCAAATAAATATTTGATCATTATAATTTTTCCACAGGAATCAAGATTTTTAAAAATTTCAAATTCAAACCTTTTTGAAATTTAACAACATATTACAATATTTATCATAAAACGCATGAAGAAATTGATTACTCCGTGTCTTCGACTCTGAGTGATCGGTTTCTTCATGTTTTATAATAAATTAAAGATAACCGAGTATAATTTTTAAAAAAGTTCTTTGAGAATTTTTAAATCCATTTGTTTACAATTCAATTTTACAATATTTTAATTATTCAGAAAATCTTCAATTGAATACTTATTAAAACATAAAAAATTTAAATAATTTCAGAAAAAAATTCAATTAAACTTTTTTAAAATAATTAATTCTACAGAATTGTTGATTATAAGTATGAATTTAATTTGAAACCTTTTCAAAATTCAATTAATTCTTAAAATTCATGCTATAATGCTTTTAATATTCAAATATTATTTGAATAATAAATATTCAAATCTAAAATTTTAACTGAAATTTATTTTTAAATCAATTATTATTAGAAACTTTTACCAGAATTCAATTATTTAAATGCAAAAATAAATCATTTATTTAATAATTAAATACCTATTTCTTATAATTGAATTTTCATAAAGAATTTTATCAAAACATTTTTAAATAATTGATTTCTTTTGACGATTTTTAATAAAATTGTTTAGATCAATTTAATAATTGGGTAATAATGAGTACTTTATTGACCTGTGAGCAAGGTTTTTAATGATTTTTATTAATATTACCCTAGGTCAATAATGGTCACTTTATTGACAAGCTGGGCTACATGAAGGAACTTAGTATGTACGCAAAGTGTCTATAATACCCCGAGTTACATAAAAAATTTTATAATGCCTTTAACCGCTATAAGATGAGCAAAAGTTATTGAGCTTTAAATAAAATAAAATTTATGCAATATATGGAATAAATGAAAATGTAGTTAATAAACCATCATTATTAATTAATTTCTCAATAAAACACGTGCTCTTGCAAAGTTCGGAACACACTGATTTAAAATTTGATTTTAAAAACTGTAATCATGCAGGGATGATCGGTTATTTGAATATAATAAATTGGAAACAAGAACTAGATACAAACATTGTAGATGACGCCGTTGATATTTTTTATGATATTTTGTATGGTGCTTTTACCAGAATTGTTCCTGTGAATGCTATTTATAAATCCAGTTATCCTCCGTGGATTACATTTGAACTTAAAAAACTAGTTCTTAAAAAAGAGATTGCGTATGTTCATTATATAAAATTTAAAACAAATGATAATTACTTAAAATTTTCTGATTTGAGATCAAGATGCAAATATTTGTCAATTACATGCTATAATAATTATATTTCTAATACTGAGAATTCGATAATTCACTGTCCGAAAACATTTTGGAAATATGTTAACATTAACAGGAAAAATCAACGTTTGCCTAATTTTATGAATCTTGGTAATGAGTCAGGTGATAGTCCTGTCAAAATTGCAAACCTTTTCGCTACGTTTTTTAGCTCTGTTTATACTACGCCATTTCAAGATTTAAATAATACTTCTAATGTTACAGGTTTGATGGATTTAAAATAAATAGTATATATTTTTCAAGGGAGGAAATTTTATCTAAATTAAATAATTTTGATATCAGTAAGGGGGCGGGATCTGATAAGATACCTCCATCATTTCTTCGTTCTTTTTGATATTCTTTGGTTGAGCCTTTACATATTTTATTTAATTTATCATTAGATTGTTGTATATGTTTCCTTATGAATGGAAAAAGGGCATTATTGTACCGATATATAAAAGTGGAAACAAAAATGACATTGCAAATTATCGACCTATAACAATTCTTAGCGTTATACCAAAAGTTTTTAAAAGTTTAATACATGTTTTTTTTTTATTTAGCTACATCAAATATTATTAACGATGAACAACATGGTTTTGTTAAAAGCAGATCATAGATTTCTAATCTTGCTTTGTTTACAAACTTACTTGCGTTAGATCTTGAAATGGGGAAACAAATTGATGCAATTTATGTGGATTTTTCTAAAACTTTTGATAAGGTGGATCACAACATACTTTTACACAAGCTGAAAATCATGGGCATGTCTAAAAATTTAATTAATTTTTTAAAAAGTTATCTTACAGATAAACCTCATATGGTGAGAGTTAAACATGACTATTCTGATGCGTTTCAATCTACCTCGGGAATCCCTCAAGGGTCTCATCTCGGTCATTTATTATTTGTCTTATATATTAACGATATAAAATTTGTTTTTAAATATTCTAAATTTTTGTTGTACGCAGATGATTTGAAATTTTTTAAAGCAATTAATGCAAATAACCCATGTCTCGATTCTGAACAGCTCAGGTTGGATCTAAAAACTTCTTATAGTTTGGTGTAAGAAAAATCATTTGACCTTTAATTTAGATAAAAGTGTAGTAATCTCCTTTGCGAGGAAAATCACATTTGTATATTGTTATACTGAAGGTTCAAGTGAATTGAATAGAGTGACTCAGGTTCGAGATTTGGGGGTGTTGATTGGTAAAGATCTCAATTATAATAATGAACATATCTCCGAAGTTATCTCTAAATTTTTGAGATCTCTGGGATTTGTAATGAGAAATGCATCTGCTTTTCATAATCTATCAGCGTTAAAAACTCTGTATTTTTCATTGATCAGATCAATAGTAGAGTATGCTATAGTCATTTGGGTACCATATTATACCTATAATATTATAAGATTTGAACGCATTCAGAATAGGTTTCTTCGTTTCATTGCGCGTCAACATCACATACCATTCGACTTCCATGCTCATGCGATTACTGCAGCTTGCGTTCTGTGCTGAATATACCAAGGGTTTCTTTGAGATTCCTGTATAGAGATTTATCATTTTTATATAAATTATTTAACGGATTCTTAAATTGTCAGTCACTTATATCACTAATTAATTTACGTGTGCCATTAAGACCTTCTAGGTATTTTTCTTAATTCTCTATGTAATGATAATTATAGAAATCATTCTTTGATGACCAGGCTTAGTATAGAGAAGCAAATGATGTTAATGATATTGATTTTTTTATCGTAACTCTACGAGGTTTCACACACTTTTGCGTCAGCTTGTTTTTAGAGATATGTAATTCACTATTTTTAAGTTCAGCCACTTATGTTTCATTTTTGATAATATTTAGTAATTTTGCTTAGTGCAATAAAATTAGTATTAAGTCTACTTTGTACGAAAGGGCATAGTCCCGTTTACTACTTAAAAAAATAAATAAATAATATTGATATGTAAAGTGCAAAGGTGGTTACCAGTCAGTTATTATTTATCAGAAAATTGTACAAAAATTTTTCTTTAACTTTTAAATAATTTTTTGAATTCAAAAATAATTTTTAAAATTCAAATAAATTTTGTATCTTTAATTTCTTTTTGATTTAAATAAAAATAAATTATTCCAGATTTTTTCAATTTTTTTGTAGTCTTGACGGTTTGTATATTTAAAAAAACAAATTCATGCATGCATGCATGTTATTCACATTGTGTAGAAAATTACTTTTAGAATAAGCCTAATAATATAAATAAGCGTTTATAATTTTTGAAGGTATTACAATTTTTCTAAAACGTGGAAGTGTAATTAGTTAAGGTAAATAATTTTACTATTTTATATGAATTTTCTGTTTTGTGTACTTTAACCGGTAATTAAATACAATCACCTAATCACTTTGGTCACAGTAAAAATCAATATCATGGTTTTGCAACATACGAAAAATATATTCATTTATTATTGTGTGGGCCACTACCATAGCACTTAGAATTGCATAAAATATTTGCCTATTTGCAGCTACATCTTTTTGTATCGCATTTTTCTTTTTGCAAAAGCATCTTTTGAATCCTTGACTGCCTGTCAAAGATTACTTTTGAACAATCTCACGCCAAGTTTTTTCAATATTCGAAACTTCAATGAGAGACGTAAATTTTTAATTACAAATGAAGTATTCAACTTTATGGACATAAAGCGACGTCTATTAAATGTTTTAAAACTCTTTGATTTAGAGCTCGATGTTGATGGATTTATGGACAAATAATTATCAAATAAACATAAATTTTTGACTGCAAACAGGAAATTGATTTCTACTGTAGTTCTGCTTTAGGCGCGTCCTTCTTCGGTTCTCAATGAATGGAGGTCATTGTTAACTGATAAAATTGTAACTACCTGCCTATGTTTGCAAATCTATTAAAACAATATTCGGCATCTTAAATTAAATTCCGAAACAAATGAAGGTTATACAACTAAACATTTCTTCTTGTTTTTGGACATTTTTAGCACTATTCACATAAACTTAAATATAGCATTGCCATAATTAATAATTTTGCTATCGTTTTTTAACTAGAATCTTATTATCAGATAAGTTATGTGCTTTAAGGTAGCAATAGCAATCTACTAAAAAAACCTTAGTTTTGAATATATATATTTAAAACTCACCAGAAAGAATTGCTAGTCCAAAAAGTTCGCAGTCTCGCATGCCCTGTTGACCAAGAAGCAAACATGTTTGCGCATAAACTTCTTTTACTCGCGATTTGGTCTGAAAAGAAAGAGAAACACTTTAATGAAGATATTTTTTCAACATTGTAAACTTTTTAAGAACTATATAATGCAGCACTACTATTTAATTAAATATCGACTCAAGGAAGGTTTATTCTATTTACATGTTTTAAAAATTTGAAGTAAAATGGAAGAAATCATGCTTTTTTAAAAATTCGAAAAATCAAAAAATTTTAAGATATTTATTTTTTAATAAATAAAATATTACTTTACTTTTTTTAACCGCGTATAATTAAAGTTAACAAACCAAATTTTTACTTAATTTTACCATAATATGTTATAAAATTTTTTTCATTTTTCGATAAAATGCAGCTAAACAAAAAAATTTATTTGATTTACATGAATCTTTATAAATAAAATCACACCTCTATCTGCATATTTCAAATTATTTATTTTTTAATTGAATATTGCTATACTTTTTGTAACCACGAAATTATAAAGTCCCCAAGTCACATTTTTATTTAATTTAACAAAAATTACTGGAACATACTTAATTTTTTTCAATTTTTCATTTTTTGATAGATTTAAGGGCATTTAACCAAGCCAAAAATATATTTTTATTTTTAGGGTAGAGGTGGCCACCCTAGGGAAATTCTTGTGCATTATTTGTCAGCACTGAATGCTTCAGATTATTTTCACTGTTTATAAAGACGACGTTTTTGGTTATGTTTAGACGTAGATAACTAAACGCATTTGTTTCTAACAGAGACATCGTTAAATTTCGGTAAAAAAAATTTTGAATCCATTGTTTTTAAAGTGATTACAGTTTATAGTTTAAAAGTTCTAAACTTTGTTTACATATAATACAATAATATTATAAATGAATATGGATAAAATTGTGTGTTATGCAATTTTTTGATAACTTTTAAAAAATGTCGTCCTGGCTCTAAGGTGGCCACCATGCGTTTTTATGTAAAATCACGTTCGAATTTTTTTACGATGTAATATTTATCAAAATATATTATGAAAAATGTAAATTTTATCGATTTGGAAAATTTTATGATGAATAATAAAATAATTTATTTTTTAATGTATGAAATAGGATAAATAATTAACAATATTTTAGAATAGCTTCTTATAAGCAAAAAACAGAGTTTGCAACTAATGATTCTGTGATTATAAGCCAAAAACAATATGTACATTTCAAATAAAATTACCTTAAATTGACTTTTGCAACTATTTTTTTAATTTTCCAGTGAATTTTTGAATTGTGGTCACCTTGGGGCCACTTTTTTTAAAGCAAAATTTCAGCTGTTTTTCCAAAGTCGTCTAAGCTAAGTTTTATTTTCCTTAGTAAAATAAAAAAATTTGTTTGATAAAAAGTTAGCTAAGCTTTAATCAACTTCTAAAATTGGCATATTTTTATGAAGAATTATTACATTACAATAACTGTTAGGCATTTAAGTATAACGGAAAATTACCCTTAAATTATGCTAATAATAATTATAATAATAAATAATAATAAATTATGCTAATTTTAATAAAACAAGGCAAACTCAAGAATTTTTTTGACGTTTCTTGAAAATTAATAAACTTTTTTTGTTTGTGGCTTAGTTTTTAAAAAAAATTTAATAGATTGTAGCGGCTTAGTTAGAGAGAAATTATGTGAATTAACACATTTGTAAGTGATGAGTCATGAGTTCGTTGTCAATTCGGCAAAAACGAAGGGAGAATCGGTTCTTCCCGATTACTCCAGTCTACGGCGATCTTCCGGTAGATTGACACGTTTTATAAGAAGTTATAATAAATCTATTTGTCTATAATTGTGACTCTTTCATTTTTAATCCTTACAAGTCAGAAGTGGGATTCTAATCCTTTACCCAAGTGTTTTACCGCTAAGAAAAATTTTCTGGCCTTTTATTCGCCGTAGATATCAATTATATTAAATCAATTCTCGCGAGCCTCGTGTTCGGACGCGATGAATTCGTATTCTGTGATTTAAAAGTGACTTCCGTGTTTTCTCCGTTCTGTTTTGGAGTAAGTGCTTTTAATGTTCTTCAGTATTACATTTTCTGTGAAGTGGTGGTGGTCCCAAGTTTGAAAGTGGAGAAATTCTAAAATAAAGAAAAGTGGCATATCATTTTCCCACAATGGCCGACCAGAGAGACGCCTCGCGTAATTAATCCCGCCTATTCTTATCATTAGTTGGTGAAAAAGAACGCGAGTGGCGCTTTCGAGTGAATCGTGATCGACGCTAACATCTTGGTGCCCCACCTCTTGTGAACTCGTAAGAAGTCCCACGTAGTGGGAGATACCCCTTCCAGTGCCGGAAAATTGAGTTGGTCTCGTGTTCCCGTAGAGTGACGCCCCGACAGTCAACTACCTCAGAATGGATCCTACCAAACTGAAAGTAGCCCGTCTGAAAGAATTATGCGCAAACTATGGACTGAATACCTCTGGAAATAAAGGGGATCTTATCAGAAGGTTACAAGACAACGATCCCACTGATGCGTGGTTAAAGGAGGTTTATGAGTCCACTCTTTCTGATAAACCGGACGATTTCGAGGATGAGGAAGATGCTTCAGCTTTACTTGCACAGCAGCGGCGACAGGGACAATTGACTGGTGGAAATCCACTACATACCCAACAGACTGTAACTTCAGAGCAGAGGGAAATTGAATTTTTACGCAGGGAAAATGAATTAACACGACGAGAACTTGAACTCACAAGACGTGAGTTAGAACTCATGCGTACTTCGTCCCCTTCTATCGCGTCTATACAACCGACACCTCATATAAACATAAATTCAATTAAAGACTTATTGAGTGAATTTGATGGCAACGGAGCGGATTTTAGGAAGTGGAGAGATCAATTTAAATTGTTGAAGGACACATACAAACTAACCGATGAGTTCGGACGTCTTTTAATGGGATCTAAACTTAAGGAAAAAGCTCTTCGCTGGTTCCATTCCAAGCCTGAATACATAGGAATGACTCCGGACAGCCTTATGATAGAAATGGGGTCTATGTTTGATCATCGAGAGGATAGATTGACGCTTCGTAGAAAATTCGAAAGTCGAATGTGGAAAAGTTCCGAATCTTTCAACGACTATTTTCACGAAAAGTTGATCCTAGCAAATGCTGTCCCAATTGCTGAAGAGGAGTTGATTGACTACCTCGTTGACGGAATATCAGACGTATCATTGCGTAATCAGGCTAGGATGCAACAATTTAAAACTAAAACAGCTCTTCTAAGCGCTTTCGAAAAGGTGACTCTGAAAGAAAATCAAGGCATTAGTCGCGAGAATAAAGCAGCACCTAGGGTCCTCAATTCTGAAGATAACTCGAGTGACAACGTGGCGAAAGAAAGGACATCTGTGAAATCTAGATCGTCGACGCGCTGTTACAACTGCAGCAAATATGGACATGTCTCTACAGACTGTAGATTACCTAAGAGACCGCCGGGAGCATGCTTCAAGTGCTTCGAATTGGGTCATCAATCAAAAAATTGTCCTAATCGGAAAAGTCAACATCAGGATCAACCTCAAATCGCCAACGTAGAGGAACAAGATTTTGACCTTGATGCTAGTAAAACAGCTGATGACAACCTTGATCACCTGGCAACCTTGAATGAACAATGCTTCAGAACGATTGACTTCACCTTCGAGCTGGGAAATAAAAATCAGGTTCTATCATTGGATACATTACTTGACACCGGTAGCCCAATTAGTTTTGCAAAGGAAAGTTTTGTTCCGGAGGAAAATATGCAACTCTACTCACCAGATGCACATCAGGGATACAGTGGAATCAACAACAGTTCATTGGTAATTTTGGGTATGACAACGGTTAAGGTAAGACTTAATGACATCGATCAAAAAATTAAATTGTTTGTAGTCCCCGATGAAACGATGAAAGCATCTGTGATACTAGGTCGCGACGCACTTAGTAAATTTAATTTGGGCCTTATGGCCTTGCCGAAGCAAGAAGCTGATGTCATTCGGGAAATTTTTGCAATTTGTACGGGTAATGATAATATCACTGATTTTTTAGAAATTAATCCTGATGCCGGTGCTGACGTTAGTTTAAAAGTAAAGCAATTATTTCTTGACGAATATTATAATAAAGAAAAACCTAAAAATCCAGACATCGAAGTCGAATTAGTTTTACGTTTAACAAAAGATCACCCTATATATTTTGCACCTAGAAGATTGTCTTTTGAGGAGAAAGAAAAATTGCAGAAAATTCTCGATGACTTGCTAGCGAGGGGTATTATTAGAGAGAGCGACTCTCCTTACGCTTCACCCATAGTTTTGACAAAGAAAAAAAATAAAGAAATTAGACTTTGCGTTGATTACCGTTTTATAAATAAAATCACATTAAGGGAAAACTACCCCCTTCCATTAATCGAAGACCTGCTTGATAAATTGCGAGGCAAGTGTTATTTTACGTCACTCGATTTAAAAGATGGTTTCCACCATGTTAATATGGCCCGCGATTCTGTCAAGTACACTGCTTTCATCACTCCGCTTGGACATTATGAATATCTAAAAATGCCGTTTGGGCTCAAAACAGCCCCGGGTACTTTCCAAAAATTTATAAATAAAATTTTTACAGAACTCATTAAGTCGGGTGACGTAGTAACGTATTTAGACGACGTTTTAATAGCGACAGATAATGTTGAGCGTCACCTGGAAGTTTTAAAAAAATGTTTTTCTTTAATGGTTCAAAATAAACTCGAACTTCGTTTAGATAAATGTAAATTTTTGGAAAAAGAAACAGAATATCTTGGTTATAAAATTTCTGCCAGGGGTATAAGCCCAACCAATCGGGGTGTTGAGGCAGTTTGCAATTTTCCGGTTCCACAAAATATTCGCGAGTTGCAGAGTTTTCTTGGATTATGCGCGTATTTCCGCAAATTCGTGCCTGGTTTCTCTCTGACCGCGAAACCATTATATGATCTCCTTAGAAAAAATGTCGAGTTTTTATTCGGTGAAAAACAATACGACGCGTTTGAAATACTAAAAAACAATCTCATGGAATC